GACAGTGGTAGTGATAAGAGTGGGGAGAACAATGTAATAACAGAAGAGACTGCAGAAAGCAAGATGTAAAATTCTCATGTCAGGAAATCTGTCCTGGAAGAGGTAGGATTAAATAATAAGGTAGGATGGCAGCAGTAACGGGAGGTGGGGGAAGCAGAAGCTTCTACCACAGGGGAGAGGGTGGCCCAGAACAAGGGGGCAGGGAAGGGGCTCAGCTGCTAGGAGGACAGGATCACAAGGTGCAGGAAAATGCCCTGGACCCCACAGAGAGGTGTGCGGTCCAAAGGGGGGCAGTGAGAGGAATCAATGACAACAGGAAGTACCGACAGCAAAGAGGGCAGCAGGCTTAGCTTGGAAGCACCAAGCGAGTGCAGCTGCAGAAGGATGTACTAAGAGAGTGTGGTCTCAGTTGTCACTGAGAAGGTAGCAGGACAGGAGTGGAACAGTGGAGCTGAGGGCAACCATCTGGGGAGGGCCCAGCCCCTGCAGCTGGAAGAAGGGAAGTGTTACTACAGGACTTAACGGCAGAGGGGTGTGAGAGGAGCAGGAGGGTGTGATGACATTAAGCTCAGCCTAGGTCTGGGACAGGAAACCAAAGGGGAGCTGCCCTCACCTGCCGGGGAAGGGAAGCCGCTGGCAGAGTGTGAGGAAGGGTGAAGACTCCAGAAGGGACCTCAGATTGGGAGGATGTGGTGTGGTGGAACATGGGGCAGGGGGCTGGAGCATATGAGCAGGGGCACAGTGGAAGTAGGGGAAGGCCTTCTAAATCGCCATCCCTGGGACCCACAGGGCAGCAGATGCCCTCCTCAAGGCAGTGGCCGCCAGCAGTGTTGCCGAGAAGGCTGTGGAGGCAGCTCAAATGGCCAAACTGATAGCCCAGGACCTGCAACCCATGTTAGAAGCGCCAGGTGAGGTGTGGGCAGCCTTGGGCTGAGGGGTAAGCCCCCTGGGAGCTGGACAGGCTCAGGTGTTGGGAAAGGAGTGGGAATCCCTGCAGGAGACTGGGGATGGGAATAACCAAGGTATGAGGGCCCAAGGGGATGGAGAGCGGCCAGCCCAGTTGTTTGGGAAGTGGGACTAAGAATTTGTAAAGAAAGGTAATAAGGATGGGGAAGGGGAGCTGGGGCTGGCAGTGAGAGGCTATACGCCTGGGAATACCAAAGTCCTGGGAGGTGCCCAGTCAGGGGGTTAAAGCTGTAATTTCTCCAGCCCAAGGCCAGTTAGGCCTCTCTGAATCTTTGCTGTCCCTGCCCCAGGCCACAGACCCAGGCAGGATTCAGAAGGTTCCGACACAGAGCCCTTGGATGAGGACAGTCCTGGGATATACGAGAATGGACTGACCCCCTCAGAAGGCTCCCCTGAACTGCCCAGCAGTCCTGCCTCCTCTCACCAGCCCTGGCGACCCCCTACCTGCCGGAGCCCACTGCCTCCTGGAAGGAACCGGGGTCCCTTCTCCAGCCCCAAATCTTGGCCTGAGGAGTGGGGGAACCCAGGTGAGCAGGCAGAGGAACTAGCTGGCTATGAGGCTGAGGATGAGGCCGGGATGCAGGGCCCAGGGCCCAGAGATGGTTCTCCACTCCTCGGAGGCTGCAGTGACAGTTCAGGAAGTCTTCAGGAGGAGGAGAGAGAAGACGAAGAGCCTTTGCCTCAGCCAAGGGCCCCGGGAGGCTCAGAGCCTGGGTTCACAGTCACTCCAGTCCTGAGTGGCACATCCTCCAGGGGTCCTGATGCTGGGCACCTGACAGAAGAGCTCGAGGAGCCTGCTGCACCCGAGAGGCCTACCCAGCCGGTGAGACATTCTCCATCCCCACTTGTACCCTCTGAGTCTCAGCTCCTTCCCAGCCACTCTTCCCCTCAAAGCCTTCCCTCCCACCCTTTCCAAACATGTCTGATCCCCCAGCAGGCTCTGATTTAGACTCAGCTTCCTCTCCGCCTGCCCAGTCTTGGACCATATACCCACCTCAAAAAAAAACAAAACAAAAAAAAAACAGAGAATTTTCAAGCTGGAAAGAACCTTAGAGACCTTCAAGTCCAACTCCCTCAAATAACAGATGGGGGAACTGAGGCCCAGAGCACTTAAAGTAACTTGTCCAAGGTTACAAACTAATAATTAATGGTAGAGCCAGAACATCTTTCCTTGTTCTCCTTCCATACCATTTCCAGCTCCCAATTTCCTACTCCACCCCCACCCCTGCACTTTCTTTGGTGCCCAGAAATAAAAAAGGAAAAGATTCTTCCCTCCCTACCATGACTCTTCCCCCTCCCCTGGGAAGAAGGGAAATAGGAAAGAAGGCAGAAAACCTGGAGGGGCAGAGTTTCCCTAGAACCCTCTACTTTTATTGGACTCGAGGTCTTCTCCTGTTTCCTAGCAACCACATCCTCATCCCTTCATCCCTCTCTGCGTTACTGCAGTAACAGCTGCTGCTGCCAATGGCTGCTACTGGCGCCAGGCACCTCCTGCCTGGGCCACGTAGCATGCTAGTGGGAAGAGAGGGAAGAGGAGGGAGGGCGGGAAGAAGGATGGGTTGTCCCTACCTTGTGGGTGCCAGAGGGAAGGTGGGCCCTGACTGGGAGAAGAGGGGTGTTTTGCAATCCAAAACAAAGGTTGGAGCCCCCTCCCCCCTTTTGGCCTCTGCAGGGAGAGGAGGGGAGACAGAGATGGAGGGGTGCATGGTACCTGGGACTCTGCAGCTTTGCCACCTCAGCCAGGGCCCTTGGGCTGAACAGCTCTATCCCCAGGAAAGACTGACCAAGAGCTGGACCTCAGCCTACCTTTCTCTGTCTTTCTAGGGAGCTGCCAACCTCCTGGTAGTGGGAGCTGTGGCCCTCCTGGACCTCAGCCTGGCATTCCTGTTCTCCCAGCTCCTCACCTGAGGCTACTTCCTGGCCTAGTTCCTTCCTGGCTTTGGTTCCTGCCTCTTCACCCTTTGGACCTGCCTTTTCCTCTATTCTTCTGGTTGTTTTTTCTATCTTTTCTCTTCTCCTTTTCCTTTTCTATTCCCCTTTGTTTTTGTCTCTTGCTTTTTGTTTGCCCCTCTCTCCTTTCAGATTATCTCATTTATTCTGGGTCTGTCTCTGTCCTTCTCAGTCCCTTCCCCATCCCAACCCTTTCTCTTTCTCTAGATTGTTTACATATGAAGGGCTTTTCTCTCTCAGAGTTACTGTCTTCTCTGAAACACACAAATCAAGTCAGACCATTGCCCCATGCCCTCCCCACCTTTTCTTTAGACCTAAACTTCATTGAGGGTGGAGTTTTGGTGTCTTGAGGAGTCTCTTGGAAGCTGAATGGAAAGGAGGAAGAAAGTGGAGAAGGGGTGACTGAACGCTGGGCAAGGCTGGCTGAGTTGCTGTCGCTCCCTAACCCAAAGGGCCAGGTGTCCCCTCTGAGGCCTAGTGAAAAACTGGAGGTCAGCCTCCACCTATTATCTTGGAGGATCTTATCTCACTTCCAAGCACTGAGCTAGGTTCTTGCCTAACTCACTCCTTCCCTGAGGGAGATATGGGAAGTGAAAAGTAGAATGACTTCCTAACATCTCCCTTTTTTTCCTCAACAGCCAGCCCCTCCTCCCACCCCCTATGGTGGCATGCCAAGAGCAAATGTTAAGGAACAAAAAATATCCAGTGCAACCAAGTCCACCTCTCCTTAACTTCGCCACTGACCTCTCCCACCTTTCTGTTTCCCCCTAAAAGTTTGGTTGTTCTGGACTCACTTGTGGTCTTTGATTAAATTCCAAAGGGACACGAAGAAGGCATTTCTACCACAAAGGGTTAGAGACACTTGAGCAAGCACCTGGCTCCCCAACTGTCAGTTGTGGTGGGGGGAGGCACTTCTGGGAGATGGAACCAGACAACAGGAACTCACAGCAACATAAGCTGCGACATGTTTAGTCATCTCAAAATGGGTGATATCCCTTCCCCCACCGTATCAGAATCTTGTGAAATGGGAAGACAACCGAAGAAGGGGATCAAAAGAAGCTGACCCCCTCCACACACACACACTTTCCAGGCAGGGCAGAGGCGTCAAACCTGGGGTAAGAGGTGGATGGAGAGCCCTGTTTGAGGTTGTGCCTGATCCCTGGTACTAGCTTTTTCCCTGGGTGCAAGAAGCCCTAGGAAGAGGGGGCTGTAGGATCCCCAGGGGCTCTTTACTCCCTCCCCTGCATGAGGCAGAGGCAAGCTGCCTCCCAATCCCCTCCCTCAAGGAAAGGCCTTGCCTGGGAATGCCCACCACAAACACCCTCTTTTTTTCTACTCAAACTCTTGTTTATTCCTTGGTTTGCCTCCCTCCTTCCTTCCCTCTCAACCTTTAGTTCTGATTCCTATTTCATGGAATTTGGGATTGAAGTTAAACTACAACAGTGCCGCAAACACCAAGTCTTGCAGGAGAAAAAAAAAATACAAAGAAATTTAACAAAAAAAATAAATTAATAAAAAAGTTCAAAAGGGGGGGATTGTCATCTCCTTTGGGGTGCGATGGCTTCAAACCCAAGCGGAGGCTCTCTGGGTGGTGATGTAGGAAGAGCCGTCTTCTCCACTGCGGATAAAAGCTGCTTCTCCTAAACGCTAAATCCAGAAGTTTAAGCAGGGCCGGCCCGGAGCGGGGAGGTCGCGTGATGGGGGTGGGGAGAGGGACGGGCCAGACGAAGCACCGCTCGTGGATCCGCCCGGTACCAGGAAATGCTGGGAGGAGAAGAGCGGAGTTGAGACGAGCCAGGTGAGGCTGGTGTAAAGGGCTGGCACCAGGGGTGGGGAAGTGAGGCGGCCTGAGATGGGAATGGGAGGAGGAATCCCACGAAGAAAAAGCACAGGACCGGAAAGGAAACGAAGGTTGAACTAGGGATGGGAAACTGCGCGTGCGTGTGTGTACGTCCGTGTCTGTGTATGTGTGTGGAAATAGGCGGGGCTCTGGCGCATGCTCAGTAGGGATGGGTTGGGGGGGGCGCATGCGTAGTGGGGAGTCCCCTTGGGGGATGAGGGGGGAATTTGGAGATCCAGGTGGGGAAAGGTAAATATGGGTTCTGTTGTAGGGTAGCAGTGAGACACGGACCCTCGGATTCTTGGCACAGGGCAAGCCTGGGCAGAAAGGCCGAGCACACTCGGCTAGAGAGTGTTAAAGCCCTCTCCATTCCCGGGCTCTGCCCCCCAGAATGGTGGTGCCTTCGTTGAAGCTTCACGATCTAATCGACGAGATCCGCGGGGCTAAGAGGGAGGCCCAGGAGCAGGAGATGATCTGGAAGGAGTGCGCCCACATCCGCGCCTCCTTTCGGGATAGGAACCCTCTGCACACGCACCGCCAGCTGGCCAAACTGCTCTACGTCCACATGTTGGGCTACCCCGCCCACTTTGGACAGCTATGAGGCAGGGACGCCTCCCTCCTGAGTTTGTAGGGTACAGGTCTTGGACCCCCTCACCTACCTGTGCCTCGAAACTGTCATTCTATTGTCTCTGGGCCCTGACAGCGTGCACAGCAAACCTCCCCCATCCCAGCCCCCACTGGTCATGAGCTGGCCTGAACCCTTCATTCTCTGGCCAGCCTCATTCAAGGCACCTTTTCTTCTCTCCCAAGGACTCCTAGTTCTTGAAACTACCCACAAATGCCTGAATCTCCTAAGCCTATCCTCTTGTTGAAAGGAGGGTGATGGGATATTGTGCCCTGTAAGTTAATCTGGTGTTAAAAAGAAAAATGAAACAAGGATGTTAGTGTCTCTCGTTTCACCCCTTCCCTATAGATGGAGTGCCTGAAACTGATCGCCTCCCCCAGAGTCTCAGACAAGAGGGTGGGCTACCTGGGGGCCATGCTTCTATTGGATGAGAGGCAGGATGCCCACCGGCTCATTACAAACAGCATCAAGAAGTGAGAGGGCTGGGGGTGGCCCCGGGAAGCACTTGGAATCAGGGAGATGGGAGAGTGGGGAACTGGGAAATGCCAAGGGGCTGCCTACTGTAGGTACTGAGAAGGATTGGTTTTCTCAGAGGCTTGACTGACCCTCCTCCCAACCCTGCAGTGATCTGAGCCAGGGGATTCAGCCAGTACAAGGTCTGGCCCTGTGCACTCTGAGCACCATGGGCTGCGCTGAGATGTGCCAGGACCTGGCCACGGAGGTTGAGAAACTGCTCCTGCAGCCCAGCCCCTACGGACACAAGAAGGTGAAGTGGCAGGACTCTAGGCACTTGCCCCTCCAGAAACCATCCCCAGTTTGCCATGTGGTAGAGTTGTGCCATAGACTTCTGTAGACCCCTGCCCTGTCTGAGCTCCCTGACCTCTGCAGGCTGTTCTGACTGCGGTGCACGATTCGGAAAGTCCTGAGCTGTCCAACATCTTCCTCCCACTCTGTGCCCAGCTGCTTCACGAGCGCCACCACAGTAAAGCCACTGGGCTCCCCATTGCCTGCTTCCACTCTAGCTGTGGACTAAAGAAGTGAAAGTTGCAACAGGAATACCAGCTCATAGAAGGGCAACACACATGCAGTTATGTAAACTTTTCCTTGCCCCTGCCCCACCCTTTGCTTCCCCCACCATGACCCCAGGCATCCTGCTGGGCACCATCACCCTGATCATGAAGCTCTGCAAAGGAAGCCCTGCAGCTCTCAGGCACTTCCAAAAGGTGGGCTGGTGAAGGAGCAGCAGGCCCTGGGGCAGAAAAGAGGAGCAGTAGGGGGAGGCATGGGGCTGGAGGTTGAGAGGATAGGAAGAACGCCCAGACAAGGCTATGCCGTCCCTCCAGGTGGTACCCCAGCTGGTGCAGATCCTTCGGACTCTGGTGACATTGAGATACTGCACAGAACACGGCATATCTGGAATCAGCGACCCCTTCCTGCAGGTGGGCTGACCCTTATAAGCTGTATTCGTCAAACAAAAAGAGCTTAGCAATAAGACCATGGCCAGTGGCTACCTCCCAGAGAACACTTTGGCTCAGTCAGTGTCTTGGGCAGGAAGGTGGCAGGCATAGGATTGCCTAGGTCATCCCAGGACCAGTGATGGGGTCGGGGGGAGTACCTGGTCAGAAAATCCAGTTTGACAACCCTTAAAAAATCCTGTCCAAACTCCCCAGGCATCACAGACCTCTGGTACCTTCCCAGGACCCCCAGGGACCTGTGGAGGTGAGAGGGAGGGGCAGGGAGGTTCTAGGGAGCCAGCCAAACCCCTCACAATGCTCTCCTCAATGTTGGATTTTTCTCCTCAGCCCCATGACTCCTTACCCTATGAGCCCCTCCACCTTTCAACCTTTAACCCAACCTCAGGTCCAGATACTTCATCTGCTTCGGATTTGGGGCCGGAACCATGAGGAGAGTAGTGAGACCACGAATGACTTGCTGGCCCAGGTGGGAGACTGGGGAAAGGGCAGTACTTAGGCGTGTTGCTCTGTGATCCCACCAGCCCTGGGCATCCCTCACATGACCACCCACCATGAGTGGCTATATTAACACCTCTCTGTTCCCCTCAAGACTGAACTCCATGAGGGACACAATCTGTCTCCGTGCTATAGCCTAGTGCCCAGTCTGGCCCTGGTACATAGTGGGGGCTAAGGGAACTTCGTTGGATGCTTGACGGATGGACGGACAACATGGAAGAGACCTGAGAAGAGGACAGAGCCTTTTGCAGATGCATCTCCTCTCCTAATCCACTCAGGTGGCCACTGACACGGAAACCAGCCGAAATGCAGGCAGTGCAGTCTTGTTGGAGACAGTGCTCACCATCATGGACATATGCTCTGCAGCTGGTCTACGGGTATCACATGCCTCTCCCACTGCAGCCCCACTCACCACCCCCAGCCAGGGATACAGGTCCCGTTCACTGGTTTCTCCTCTCCACCCATCATCATATGCCATGTGGCCCCCACTCCTGAATGATCAGGTGTGCCTTCCCTGACTGTCCCCAACTTCTGTTTCTCATAGGTTCTAGCTGTCAACATTCTTGGCTGCTTCCTACTCAACAGTGACAAGAACATTAGGTAACAGTCCCAGTGGCTGGCTGCCCCAGGTCCTCTGCCCTCCTTCTCCCAGAGTCTCTTGATCTACTTAATTCTACCCCTGTATCCAGGGCAGCACAGGGAGTGGGGGCTGATGGCCATGGGCATGATAGGGTCTCTCCCACGCTAACCAGGTACATAGCCCTGACATTGTTGCTGCGGCTGGTGCAGTCTGATCACAGCGCTGTGCAGCGGCACTGGCCCACTGTGGTGGAATGTCTGCAGGAAACTGACGCCTTCCTCAGCCGGTGAGCAGGGCTGGAGGGGATAAGAGGGCCCAGCACCTGGTGGCTAAGACCTGGGCCAGCTTAGAGCAGCTGAGTGAGGCAGCTAAGGGGACAGGTGCCTGGGAAAGGGGAGGGCCTGAGATAGGAAGGGGGTGACCTGGCTGGCTTATATAGATACCTGTATTTCTCCGCCAGGCAGGCCCTAGCAATGAGCCTGGCTCTGGTGAACAGCTCCAATGTGCAATCCATGACACAGGAGCTACAGGGCTTTCTGGAGTCCTGTCCCCCTGATCTATGGGCTGACTGTGCGTCAGGCATCCTGTTAGCAGCAGAAAGATGAGGTGACAAGTGCCCAGGAGGCAGAGGGGGTGGAATTTGGAGAGGGTCAGTGCCAGGACTGATGAGCCATATGTCCCATTAGGTTTGCCCCAACCAAGCGGCGGCACATAGACACTATCCTGCACCTGCTGACTACAGTGAGGCAGGGACTGGTCTGAGAGCTGGGTGGGAATAGGCAGCTTACCACACTGGCTTGGCCATATTCACCCCCACCCTCAGGCGGGCACCCATGTGCAGGATGATGCAGTAGCCAACCTGACCCACCTGACTGGGGGAGCCCAGGAGCTACACGCCTGTTCTGTGCACCGCCTCTACAACGCCCCGGCAGAGGACATTTCCCAGGTACTGTGCCCACCTGCACCCTGTGTGGTTAGGTCTTGTAGTTGCAAAGCTTGGCCACCAGAGGGCAGTGGGAGCCCAGTTGCCAGGATAGGGCCAGGTAACAAAACTAACGTAACTGCTTTCTGTGCCAAGGCCTTGCCTTTCCCCACCCCTCCAACACTCATATCTGTGCACTGCCTGAAGGGATGTTGTAGGGTCTGGAGGTGGGGAGGAGACCCCATACACTGACCCAGCGTTTCTTATCCCACGCAGCAACCACTGGTACAGGTAGCTGCCTGGTGCACTGGGGAGTACCAGGACCTCTTGGAGGGGAGCTGTGAGGAAACTGAGCCTCTTCAGGTGAGGCCTGCATTGGGGGTGCACTGAGGGAAGTACTCAAGGGAGGCAGGTCTGGCCCTTGGGGTCACCGCCTGTGTCCACTTCTGAAAGTGGAAGAAGAGATGTTGGTGCTACTGGAAAAGGTGCTGCACTCCCTAATGTCCCTGCTGGCCACATGAGGATACACCCTCACAGCCCTCATGAAGCTCAGCACCCGATTCCGTGAGGACAAGTAGGAAGGGGTCCTAGCCCCTCCCATAGGCCCCCCTCTTGGAGCCCCCAGTAAGAGATGTCTTTTCACTGTGCCCACCAGTTTCTGAACTTCTCACCAGCACGCACCCCCTACTCCCCCTAATCCTTAGGCTCTTGTTTTTGAGCCAGGTATCTTGGGTTCTCTTTGCTCTGTGGGGTCTCTCCCCTACCATGTCCTAGAGTTGAAAGGCAGGGCAGACTCCCACTCCCACTTACACACCACACTGCGGCCTAGCCACATCTGGCAGGTAGTATCCATCTATGGGAGCTGTCTAGATGTAGAATTGCAGCAGCGGGCTGTGGAGTATAACACACTCTTCGGGAAGTATGACCATATGAGGTGTGTTCGGCATTCTGTTGCAGTGTGGGGCCCAAACCCCTGCCCTCTCTATAAATGCCCCTTTCTGGGTACAAGGGTTTCACCCTGACCTATGTCCTTCCTCATCCTGGGCGAGAGCCTCCCACCTGCAGTTCACTGAAGCTAAGCTGGCTTCCAGCCCCCCTTGCCCATCTGAAAACCAGCAAGTGTGCCATCTGAGGAAATCAGAGGGACACTGCTGACCTGCCACATGCTCAGGGCTCTCCATGTTCTTACTCCTCCTCCCAGATGCCTCTTGTGAAGGGCCTGGGGTTCACAAAGAGGGTACTCCAAGGGGACACACTTGCATTCCATCCTCTCAGGGCTGCCATCCTTGAAAAGATGCCTCTTGTGAAGTGAGGTGGCCCTCAGGCTGATAAAGAGACAGAAGAAAGCAAAGAAGCCCAGCTTTCAGAAGCAGCCCCTGTCCCCCAGAGCCCCAGGTGAGGAGGCTGGAAGCCTTGGAGTGAGGACTGGGCCTGCTTCCATACCCAGGCCTGACCTTTGTACCCTTTTCCCCAGGCCTCAAAGCTCTTGGATCTGTTAGATCTCCTGAATGGCACTTCTGGGAATGCCCAGCATCCTCCCCCTCTAGATCCCTCCCCAGAAGGTACCTTAGTACACCTCCTTGACCTGCCCTGTGCGCCTCCACCCCTGGGTGAGTCTCAGCCAAGGGAAAGAGATGTCTAGGAAGGCTGAAGCTGACAGAAGGTGGGGTGGAAATGTGCTGCTGCTTCTTAGCCAAGGACTGGAGTTCATGTACCCTCTTTCTTCCTGTATGCCCCCCATCCCATCCCCTTCTCAGAAGGTGAAGAGTTAATTAAATCATGCCCATCCCCTCCTGGACACCCTTCAGTGTCTTCCCTTGTTCCAGATTCTGCACCTTGGCTTGCACGGCCCTGCTTCCTCCTCAGCCTCATCTCATGCCACTTTCCCACTGAAAACACCAGTGGCCCCTCTCAGCTCCTCAAACCTGCTCACCTCAAGCTTTTGGCATTTCACGTTCTTTTTCCATGGAATGGTATTTTCCAGCATATCACATGACCAGCTCATTCTCATTTTTCAGGTCTCAGCTAAAATGGCAGATGCCTTCTCCTACCACCCCTCTCTGTTAGTTCTTCCCAGTTACACTGGCATAATTTCCTTCATAGCACCTATTACAGTCAATGATTATCTTGTTTTCTTGTTTATTGCCTCCCTCCCCCACTAGACTGTAAGCTCCAATAGGCCAGGGACCTCATTTTCTTGTCCACTCTGCCACTAGCATCTTGAGTAGTACCCTGCACCTAACAGGTGTTCAATTGATTTTTGTTGAATGAGTCAATGACCTTGTTATCTCCAGACCAAATGCTGAGCTGCCTGTCTCTTCTTACTCTAGCTCCCATCCCAAAAGTCAAAGGGTTTGAGCACGAGGGACTACAGCTGAATCTGTCTTTTGTTCAACCCTCTGAAATCCCTGCTTTGCTTTTAATCACTGCCACTGCCACAAACTCGTCTGGGAGTGATGTCAGAAATGGCTTGGGCACTCCAGGAAAAGAGGCCATTAAATGGAGGAGGGGGTGGGAGAGAGAGGGTGAGATGGGAAGGGAGTGGTGCGCAGACACAAGCATTGAGGAGTTATGGGAAGAGGGTCTGAACTACTGGGTGTGGAGGGTTGCCTGATCCCAGCCGGCTGACTTACTGTGCTCTGCCCAAACCTCCTATGCTCAGAGTTTCCAGCTGCAGCTCCAGGCCCCTAGTGGGGACACAGTTCCAGCTAAGGGCGGCCTTCCCATAACCCAGCTCCTCAGAATCCTCAATCCCAACAAGGTGAGTCCAGGGGCCCCCCATGGAGAAGACCCAGGGGAGAGAGAAGTCACAGGGGCTAACCCTGGTCTCTGCTCTCCTGTTCCTAGGCCCCCTTGCGGCTAAAACTGCACTTCACCTACAACCACTCTGGGCAGTCGGTGCAGGAGATCTTTGAGGTGAACAACTTGCCTTTGGAGACTTGGCAGTAACAGGCTCAGCCTCCGCACACAGCCTCAAATCCTATGCCCCAAGCCTGGGGGCTTCAGCAGCTTGGAGCCTATGCCTAAGGGTTACCAGCAGGTAGCGCTCTGGCTCAGTGACTGCAAAAACTGTGGGGGCTTGCCCCATCCCCTACAAATAATGAAAGCCCAGTAAAACCTGAGGGGGGTGGGGAGCTATATTTGAGGTATAAAATGTATTTGAATAACAGCAATGGAAGAAGCGCTCTTACACAGGAATTATGCCTCTGAAACCTGTTTCAACAAGGAAGGTTTTCTTTCCCCCCAGCCTGGGGAGCAAATTTGTCCTCAAACTTCCACAGGAAGCACTCTACCTGGTGAGACCAGAGCAGGGCACAACTGCAAAATCAAACCAGAATTTTTAGATTTCCGACAGCCATTCCCACCCATTTCTGCAACCTGCTGCTATTCCCCACGCCCCAAGGCAGGGAAATCCCTGCCGTCTCCCCTCATGTCTAACTCAGCTGTAAGGTGGTTTAGGAGCCGCTGGCAGAATCAATGGCATCGACCAAGGTGGGGGGTGGGAGGCAAGGGATTTTCCTGTGCTTAACTACTGATCACGGCTAAGTGGAAATCCTATAAACACGAGCGGAAATCAATGGAGACTGCTTAGCGGCCAGGGGAGAGGGGCGGCCCACAGATTGCATCTGACTGATGAGAGAGAAGAGGCAGCCAGGGAGGATTCAAGGAAGGATAGCTGATAAGGTAAAGGAACAGGCAGAGCCAGAGACAAAGGAGTCACTGTCGGAAGGGAAGCCAGGATAAGAGGCACAGTGAGCCCCGGAGTGAACCCCATTAGACCCAGAGCTCTCTTCCCCCTCTAGCAAGTGACACCCCTAGCCCGGGCTACTGTCTGGATGTTTAGTCCCGTGGCTTCTCTCTGGAGCTGTTCTCTTCTAGCAGGAGTTGATAGTCCTGAGGCCGGAAGCACTGCAGGTACACCATCAGCTTGGCAGGTGGCTTCTCCTGTGCTGGCACACCTACAGGCAAAAGGACAGTAAGGAGAGAGCCAGGCAGATTCAAATGCTTTGACTGTGCTTCCTGCACACCCAGCCAGGACCCCAGAGTTACTGAGGCAGCACAGGGATTCTGAGTGCCACCCAACAGCTTCCATAACCCACTCCCTTACTGGCCTGTGGAACTGGGGGCTAAAAGGGCCAGTTTAGGCAGAAGTGTAGCTGGGAAGCAAGCATGAGCTTCTCCAGCCAAGGAGAAATGATGAACAGGCACCCAAGGTGTCATGAAGGCAGAGAGTGCCTCATTTCAGTTATTGTTTCTGTCCCTCAATCAAGATTAAAGCCCATCTAGGCAGGCCAAAGCTCATTAGCTTTGTAATGAAGCCCATGCAGAGATGCCCACACAGAGAAACCAAGGGATGCAGAAAAAACACTAGAGGAAGCTATTCCCACGGCGCAGGGTCCACCTAGAATCTGCCCTCCATCTGGTGTGGTGCCGCCCATTGCCAGTGTTGGTTGTCAGTACCTGGCAGCATGCTGGGCATATAGCCGGAAATTCAGTGTGTTTGCTGAGAAGGTGAGAAGAGCATTCCATGGCTGTGAGGCCCTGTGGGATGCACGACCTTATACTTGTGTGGATGAACTGTCTATAAGGGAGCTAAGCTTAGGAAAAGAAAAACCTGCCAAAGTTTACCAACATTCTTATATTTTACTCAAAGCCAATAGACCTAATTAAATGAGGATCTAGGTAGTTGTGAAAATGAGAGGACGGGGGCTGGGGAGGGGGATGAAGGAAGGACTGAAGCAGGAATGGACAGAGACCTGACAAATGGAACTGAAGGAGACCTGCAGTGGCTAGAGATATTCGACTGAGAACTCGATGAGCCATAAAGCCTGGGATAAAGACTAGAGACACGTGGAAGGATTAAATCCAGTTGGACAGCTACTATAAAAGCAGAGGAAACCAGATTTGATAGTCAACCCTAAACCAACTAGGTCCTCTAGAAAATGGCTAAAACAATTCTCATTACAGAAATAACTCAGGGACCCTCCCCCACTACATGGTGTAATGAGTGAATCCAAAAGAGGAAAGTGGGGAGCAGGGAAAGCACAGAGGGGCCTGTTTCCCTCACCAAGAAGGCTGCTGAGGCTGTGGATCTTCTCCAAGGCAGCTGGCACTTCAGCCTCCTCATGTACCAAGGCCTCCACCTCACCCACAGCATAGCCAAAGTCAGCTGTGTCCAGGTGCACCCAGAGTGGCAGCTCCTCAGCCCCCAAGGGCACCAGCTTCCAGGCACTCCGCTTAGTCACAAAACTAGCTACTTCCTGCAGCCCCAGTGGACACAGCACAGCAGCCACACCTCCAGCCCCCAGGCCCTCAGCCCCCAGCACCTCACAGAGCTGGGCCACAATTGCAGGCTCAGCTGTGAGTTCCATGTACTCAGTGTGGGGTCCTGAGACACCTGCTACTCCAGGACATTTAAGCTCCCATCCACTACCCTCTCGCTGCCGCAGCCAGTGGTCAGCCCTCATGAGGCTCAGCTCAGGGGTGTCATAGTAGCTGTCTCGGAAGGTGATCCGGTGCTCCAGGGTGCCCCCCAACTCCTGCAGCCGCTCCTCTGTGCCAGGCCCAGGGACGAACTTTCGCTCCACCTCAGTCAAGCCCTGGGCCATGCTACCTGCAATCAGTTAATCAACAAACATTTGCTGAGCTCCAAAGAGTGCAAAGCCTGGGTACTCAGCCCTGCAGGGTGACAGCTCAGCACAGCCCCGGCCCTGGAAAACTTATGAGACACACAGTGTTGCAGAACTCGCTGCTGGGGCTACAGCCCTTTCTCCCTGCCACAACAGTGACAGGACCCCAATTAAATCCCTTCCACTGCTATGTTGTGCTCAATCCAAAGGCTTCACTAGAAAGCAGGCCCCGGCCATGTAGCAGGTGTCCTCCTTTCAACGCTCCCCCTCTATACCTTGGTACCCCAGGAGGCCAGTGGCTCACCGTCCAGTCCAGGATGACCCTGCCCTTCCACGCCACAGTTCCGGCCGGCAGAGCCTCGAGTATCACCTCAAAGCCCGAAGGTCCCTCTCTCGTGGTCCCGGAGGTTGGGGAAGGGAGCCTACGCCACACCCGCAAGGAATGCCGGGAGCAGTCCCTGGCTCCGAACCTCCGTCCGGCTCTTAGCGCGCACGGCCGCTCCCAGAACGAACGGCCATGTTAAGCACGATGTGGTGGTGCACAGTGCAGGCCGGGGCCTGAGAGACCCGCTAGGTTATGGGGAGGCGAGACTCCTGCAATGGACAGCGGAGCGACGCCGTCACCCCAGCGCTCGGTTCTCCATTCCCGACCCCTCCCGGTTCCCGAGGGTTGGTCTGGATCGCAGGCCTCAGGCTGAGCCTGGGCGCCCTGGGGCCCGGGTGCATGATGGGAGTTGTAGTTCGAAAGGGAGACTGTGCCTTCCCTCCCCACCCGTCGCTATGGTGACAGGAAACCTGCAGTTAGTGCCCGCGGAGCCCTACCTAAAGCTGAGCTGAGGCTGCTTGGAACTGTGCCCGTGCACTCAATAAATCTTAGCAATTATTGTTATTTAGAATATAGGAGAGCAGTGGGAAGAGTCAGGTGAAAGGAGCTAGGCCACAGTCCCGCCTCCAACCTTCTCACTCCCTAAGCAGATGAGCCTGGAATACAAGTCGCTCACTCAGACACTGTCCAACAGATATTTGACTATTTACGGTGGTCATCTAAGTGCAGGCCCGTGGTAATGGGCTGAAAAAAGGATAACAGACCAGTTCGGCTACTCTGGAGTTTTAGAGGGGATTTAATACATCTGGCATGCACATTCAGGGTAAGGGGGATAGGAAACTTGCTGTGGAAGAGAGTTAGTCTGAAATCCCATCATGTCTTTAGTTCTGATACAAAACTATTGGAACTAAAGATATGATAGGATTTCAGCAGTTGGAGACCCAGATGCAGAAAGGAGCAGCGTGAGCAAAGTCCCAGAAGCGGGACAGCAGCTGGCCAGTGTACACGGTTTACAGCCAGTTTACACAGGAGAGGAAGATGAGACTAGTAGTACAACTGAGGGGATGATTGGAAAAGGCCGTGAGGATCAGACTGAGGAGTTTGTCACTGAGTTTCCAGTGGTCTCTGAGTAGCCTGTGTCAGGAGTATGAGAAATACTCGTTCATTTAAAATACAGGAAGGCATGGAGGTGACCCCCTGACTTCTTTGGGAGACAAAATAGAGACGGCTCCTTCTTACTCTTAAGGAATATAGTTACTGGGAGGCCTTAACTGTATGTCAGAATCTCCGGATGAAGTAACTTGCTGAGAAGAGTAGCTCTTGTCAACCCCTGGGCTCCCTCCTCCCAGGTTCTCAACACCTGCCTTCTCCCCAGTATGTTTCTGGAAACACATGTCCAGTGGGTAGCCCTTGGGGAGAAGGACACTGGTTTACAGACATGGTATCTTGAATGTGGGATGTCTTGGAAGCATTCCTCCCCCGACCCCATGCAAAGCACCACTGGGCATGGAGGAAGAGGTCCTCAGCTCCTAACTCCTTTCACTGGTCTGACTTTTCATCCATCCTTTGCTTTTTAGTTTTGTTGCCCCAGGAAGACCTGGTATGTTCTCTGAGTCATAAAGGTCAATCTAGTGGGGCAGAGGTATCAGGTTAATGGAATGGAAAGTTGACTCTCAATTCCGCTTTCTAGGTGTTTGGCCTTAGGCAAGCTACTCCACTTCCCTAACCCTTTCTCACTGGTAAAATGTGGGCTGCTTCACAGAGTTAATAGTGAAGATTCAATGACAAACTATCTGACACATAATATTCGAATGTTAGTTCTTTCTCCTTCCTTTTTTCCTGTGAACTCTGGGATTTTTCTTTTCTTCTTTCTTCCTTTCTTTTTTAAAGAGAAGTGGGCTGCAGCAGCTAATGTGGACTTTGGAGCCAGACCATCGAGGTTTAAATCCTGGAGCTGTCATTTATTGACTGTGTGACCTTGGACCATTTATTTAACTTGTTTGTACCTTGGTTTCCTCAACTGTAAAATTAGACTAATAAAAATAGTATCCACCTCATAGGATTGTGAGGGTTGAAAAAGTGCTTGGACCCATGCCCATGCACTCAATAAATCTTAGCAATTATTGTTATTTAGAATATAGGAGAGCATATAAACTGATAAACTGAAGATGAGAACAAGGAGCCAGGACCCACCCCCATGCCTACCCCAATTCTGGCGGCTATGCTACCACTTGGAGGAGACAGAAGCTCCCAGAGACTCAGAGGAATTGCTGTGAAGGAGAAGGTTCTAGTACTCAATCAGAAGGGAGAAGACAGTGAAAAAAAAGAGAGGCCTCAGGCGGCTCTGGGAAGCTGGTAGAAGCCAGGGCTTGCTCTAGAGCGGATTTAAAACAGAACAACAAAACAAACGTATGGTTTCTGCAGGCAAAAGAAGGAGGAGACACAAGTTGAAAAGAGCCTGCCCTATTGGTTGGCAGGCACCGGCTTGGACCTGGTGCCAGAGCCAAGGAGCGACCCGCCCTCAGGCCAGGCCCCATCCCAATCCTAGCTTCGGCCCCTCAGCTCCCGGCCGTTGGGCGGGGGAGGACGGACTACATCTCCCGGCATGCACCGCGGCGGCCGGGCCGCTGCACCTGCTCAGTGGGGCCGCCCCGGGCGCTTGGGTATTGATTATTCCATTGTGTGGGACGCCTCGACTTCAGCCTGCGAAAGAGGTGGAGGAGTGAGGGCAAGGAGGAGGAGTGAGAGCGAGGAGGAGGAGGGCGAGGAGGAGGAGGCAGGGAGCGAGCGAGTGCCCAGGGTGAATCAATGGAAACCCCCTCACGAAGCCGGGAAAACACTTCAGCCGCAGCCAAATAGCATTGATTATTTTCCTTCACTTCCCTCGAATTTATTTATTTTTTCCATCTCCGTCCCCGACGCCCCGGAGCGAGTGCTGGAGGGAGGGAGGAGGAGTGGGAAAAAAGGAATCAACACATCGGAGAAGTCCCTTCCAAGAGCCGCCTCCTCCCCTCCCCGCCTCGCGCTGCCAGTCGGCCGCGGTTCGACTCCCGTCCCTGCTTCCAGCTGAGGTGTAAGTGCATCGATTTCCGATGCTGCTGGGTTGGTTTTTTTTTCTCCTCTGCCTCTCTCTCATCTTTCCTTCCTTGCTCTTTGGAAGCTCGAGACGGAGGGGAGAGGAGGCGCTCGGAGGTTGCCGCTGGCGGAGACAGAGAGGGACGGGAAGGGGCTGGGGGAGGGGGCACGGACGAACGGACAGACCGAGGGCCCGAGGAGAAGGAGGGGTAGGGGTATGGAAGGGAGAGGGCTTGCGGGCGGGGATGGAGGGAAGAGAGAGATGCAGGGGTGGAGGGAGAAACGGAGAAGGGAAAGGCTGGACCAGGAGCCAGCCGGACAGACAGAGGGTAACGAAAGCCTAGACGGACCAAGCAGAGCTGTGCGGGAACAGGGGTCCCAGAGGGAAGGGGAGGCCGGGTGAGTGCGGGGGCTTGGAACTGTCAGCCGGAAGGGGCCTGGGTCTCGGCGGTCCCCCGCCGGCCGCGGGGTGAGGCTTGGAACCACTGCGGACGTGTTGATAGATGGGCTATCGTGCTGGGGCGGGGGTACAGCGGGGTGGGGGATGCGGATACCCTCAATCTTCGTTTTTGCTTGAAGTTGAGCTTTTTTAGAGGGAACGGTGCGAGTAGGTGAGGGGAGGCAACAGCCCCATTCAAGGTGAAGCATGTCTATCTGGGCCCCCCAACTCTCGGTGCATTCTCGTCTTCCCCTCTCTCATTTTTGAGCACTCAACCACGCTGCTCCCTGCACGTGTAGTCCCGCTGATCTCTGTCCATTTGCCTCTGCCTCTTGGTTTTCCCATTCTTCACCCATCCATCTCTGAGTCTTTCTCCGTGTGACTCTTCCCATCCGAGTGATCCTCTCCCCGTTTGTCCCTGTCACTATGTGTCAAGCCTTGGCCTGGCCGTCTGTTCTGCCAGTCTAGGACTCCATGCCCTCTCCTTCACGGTCCGTGTGGATATCCCTGGCCTTGCCAGGCTACTTTGGAGTTTGCTTATCCATCATGATTGTGGTGTCACTGGTCAGGGGCCAAGGAAGAGTAAGGGGATGGAGCAGATGTGTCTCCCCCAAGGACTCAGTGCCCTTTCAGCATGACCAGGATGGCCTCCTCTTCCGCCTTCACCTGGGAAGCTTTGGAACTTGCTAGCATTGTTGACTGTCCCCTTTGCCATGTGCCTGTCTCCCTCATCAGGACCTCCTCTTCTGGTCTGTGTCATCTGCCTCTCCAGGAGCTTCCACCACAAACCTCTTCCTTGCTGACTGAATTTTTCTCCCTTTTCCCACTTTACCATTGTATATTTTTTCATTTCCGCATTTTGTCTCACCCCTTCTTTTCCACCCTTCACTCCCATGATCTTCTTTGCTTATTCTCCACCTTTGTTCCCATAATCTATCCTCTTCTTACCTTTTCTCTTTGGTCACTACAAGTTCCTTTTATCCATTATTCTCTTACCTAGCATTTTAACCCCAGCATCCCTGGTACCAGAGAGCAAGGGGCCAGGAGAGGTAGGGGGTATGTTTTGTGAAGGCACATAAACAGGCCAATAAATCAATTTTACAGGCTCGCAGGGACATATAACCCCTTCATCAGTCAGTGCCATTATGTCAGTTAACTGTCAACTTCGATTTTTAAGGGGACATTCTTTAGGACTCTGAGCTCCACCCTGTCTGGTTGCCCTCACCTTTTGGTTCATTCTAGATTTCAGTGGCGTTCTCTTCACTTTCCAGTTCATCATCTTCCTGGGCGCAACCTCTCCTTCAGCTGCTATTATCATATTTGGATTCCACATGATTCTTTACTAGGCATTTTTATTAGTGTGATAAATGTTATCTTATGCAAGGGGCCAGGTCCATTCAGACTAAAAAATGGTAAAGGTGGATAAAGGGTCTGGAGAGTTTACTTTGGTTTTAAGCCCATCATTGTTTTTCCAGACCTTGAAGAGCTCAAAAGGGTAAAAGGAGGAGGTAGATATGGGCAGAAGATGGAAGATTTCAAAGGTGAACAGAATTACAGAAAGGAAGGGGAGGCCGGGTGCAATAAACACATGGTGTAGAGAAATGTATGACGTGAGGAATGTGCAAAGGAAGGGAAGAAAATCTGTGCGGAATGGGGGGCAGGGGAGGAATGGAATCAGGGATGGCTGATAAATGAAAAATTGGGAGAATGAAATAAAACATGAGTTAATAGCTATACAGAGGGAAAGAGGGAGAAAAAATGATAGAAGATTCTTAAAGAGGAGGTCAACAGATAA